ACACACATGGACATCGGACACAGACAGACAAATTCCACACAGACACACAAACATAGACACGTAACGTACCGGTACTGCTTATTTACATCAATTTATTTAGATGTCTAACTAGTTGACGGAAATCAAATTCAAGTCACAGGAAAGGAAAGCGACAAAGCAATGTACCTGAATATAGGTTAGAATTAGAAATAAGACCAACCAAACACCAAGGACTGTCCACAAAACTGAATTTACCTGCCGGGCATTTTGTTGCTGCACACTGTGCAGTGTGCACCTTATCACCTCGATGCCTGCTTTATAGTTCGAAGAAGTCTTTTCAGCACTGTATAGCTGTTGACATTCAGGCTGTTTTATCTTTAATATAATCCATTTCAGTAAGTGCTTTCAATATTAAACGCTCGGCACGCTCAGACGCACGCTCGGACAAATCTCCTTTTGTAAAGTCCTGCAGGGACATTACCTTCAGTGACACAGAAAACCCTCGATATTCCTGATCGTCGATCCAGATTTCACGCTTCTCCAATAGACGCCATGAGGCTGTCAGTTATTCACATTTTATTCACAATTACCCGGGAAACGTATCGGACCAGCCGACTGACGAGCGAACGGAGACAGTGTCCTAGACCTGCCAACGGAAATACGGAGTACGGACGGACGGACAGACAGACGGACGGACGGACAGACGGACAGACGGACAGACGGAATAAGTTCGGCCGGCCGGACGGACGGGCGGTTATATGTCTATCAAAATAGTTTTAGATGTTCAGATCTCATGTAGCTTTAGTTAACCCTCCACATGCCTCCACCATACGGGCATGAGAGGAAAGCGCTACATTATATAACGTCAAATAAAATGACGCGTCCCCGATTATAGAAATAAAGAACTTTTGGCTATGACGTCTATATATATTATACATCCGAAACGACGCCTGTCGATGTCGTCGACTATGACACATACAAGATAACGCGCCACATTTGGGTCAATCAGAAAGCAATGCATATATTTTCGCGGCGAAAACAAGGGCGATGGTGTCTTAAAATTGGAATAGAGACAGGAAATCGAAAATCAGGCCAATAGTTATAGGAGAGAGAGAGAGAGAGAGAGAGAGAGAGAGAGAGAGAGAGAGAGAGAGAGAGAGAGGGAGAGAGAGGGAGAGAGAGAGGGAGAGAGAGGGAGAGAGAGAGGGAGAGAGAGAGAGAGAGAGAGAGAGAGAGAGAGAGAGAGAGAGAGAGAGAGAGAGAGAGAGAGAGAGAGAGAGAGAGAGAGAGAGAGAGAGAGAGAGAGAGAGAGAGAGAGAGAGAGAGAGAGAGAGAGAGAGAGAGAGAGAGAGAGAGAGAGAACAGTAAATGACAATATTGTTCTTCGAGTGGCTGTGACTGTTTCTTCTGAATAATGCGGCCATATTTCTTTCCTCCACATGGGTATACTTGATGATTATAATAGTATATAATAATGATTATATAACTATAATTATGATTATAGTACCACCGATATTCGCAGGTCAAGATCTTTAAGAGTTGCATGTAAATAAGCCGGTGAAGGTGCCATGTTTTCTATCGGGCGTAGATTAACCCTCGCCCGCACATGCCATTTTCCCATCCTAGAACGCACATGGGGGGGGGGGGTTGCCCCCGCGCCATTTCGTTCCTGTTGGAGATAGAGCTTCGTGATAAAGACCAAAAAGTTTCTTTGGGAAGAGACAAATCCAATGATACCCAGTTTTACCTTCTCAGGTCAGTCATTACCTTCCAGGTCAGGTCAAACTAAAAAATGTTGCTGTTTTGGGTCACCGTTGGATATCAAGTGCGCTGCTTATCATATACCTACCGATGACGATGCCGTTTTCTGGTGCCAAGCCAGCTAGAACCTCTTTGTCACACTACCCGACCAGGTTTTTGCTGCTGATGTCATTTCAGGTCAAGTTAGGTCAAGGTCAATGATATGTGTTTGTATGTCTGTGTGTGTCTGTGTGTATACTGATGAGTGCACCGATTGTTACGGAGCGAGCGAAGCGAGCGTAGTCTTTCCTACATGCCGGGGTATGTCTTAAGCACAGCACGAGCCGGGCAGTAAAACTATGACCAAGAAACTGTCGGTGTCAAAATGCCATGTTATTTGATAGGCCGGGCAGGAAACAAAAGTTTACTGCCCGAGTTCACTGCCCAGGGCAATGACCTCTAAACTACAGTTTATCGCATTAGTCCAGAGGTATAATTGACAGGGAATGTATAAATGACATCATTATTGCATGATATTTGCCGCGTAAAATTAGAAAACTAACATTTTTTGGTAAATATCTGCTCTGCTTATCAAGGGTTTTGAAATATTTTGTATTGGTTACAAAGCCGAAATTATGGTAAGATATAGGTACGCCTATTAATCGAAATCCGTTATCGCTTGTTGTCTTATCTTCGTTTGATATGTCCACTGATACTTTGGGCGTAAGTTGATGCGTTTTTATTTGGCAGTTGTAGTCCTTTCCTCGAAACAAACATGTAAAATATGGAAAATATAATGTATTGAACGAACGTTTAGCCATAGGGCATATCAACAAAGTACGATTACATAAATGAAGCAAAGATTCTTGCAAAAGCACTGGGAAAATTCACGTTTAATCACTAGGAATATTATACCTTCTTCTTGTTCTTATGTCGTGGCAAATCATTAAAGTATTATGTTCCTTGGATATCTAATTGTTGTGCCATTCTGAGTTGATGTTTTCAGACGTGAATCTTTTTGAAGTAAGGTATTTTGAGGCATTTTCTCTATAAATTTCCTTTAAGGCTTTATCCACAGCAGTAGAGCAATCACTGTTAGGAAAATATGGACAAAACAATTGTATAAAAGTGCCACCAAAACCTGTCGAAACTAACCTAGCTATGCGGCATGTAGGAAAAATCTTACTGACCTCAGCCGTACGAAATTATTTGGAAACTCGGCTTGCAAAATTTGACTCCGGCCCTCGTGCTTCGCACTCGGGCCTACGTCAATTTCGCAAACCTCGTTTCCAAATAATTTCGTCGGCCCGGTCAGTAATATATATTCCTTAGATTAACGGAAATTTCTGAGTATGAGCGGCCGGCCGGCCGGCCGGCCGTGGTCACGATTCTGCGACGCTTATATCTCAGCAACCACTTGACCGATTTACACGCGGTAATTTTTGTAGGGTAGCTTCATTCCTTCTACCAAGTATTGGACTATTCCCGATGCATGTGGGTGACCCCTTATGCACGTGCCACGTGCAAAACGAAGAGGTGTCACTTTTGTAATTGTTGCAATATCTCGGTAACCACTTGACCGATTGCGCTGAAAGTTGGCATATAGGTAGGCACCCACTAGGCAATGCATATCCATGTGCCAGAGTTGGGGTGCTGCTGCACGTGCGCACGTGCAGGGGTCGATTCCAGATCTCGAGAACGGCTGGACCGATGGCGCTCAAATTTGGCACATGGTTAGGGACCGGTTAGTAGGGTGCCGTGCAAAAGTCAGTTGGGACCCATTTTGCACGTGCGCACGTGCAAGGTGCCGCCTCCAGATCTCGAGAACGGCTGGGACGATTGTGCTCAAATTTGGCACATCGCTAGAGACCGGTTAGTAGGGTGCCGTGCACAAGTCAGCTGGAGGTACCCCGTCGAAATTTCGCACGTGCAAGGCTCACCCTCTCGCTCGCTCCGTTAGTCGCCCCAAAAGGCGTTATACTGATTTATGTGTCCATATTACATGAAATCATGATCTGAGAAGCTTTTACCAAAAATGCAACCAAAAAACTTCACGAAAAGTAAATTCAGCTTGCCTAAAACGCAATTATTTTAGATGACCTAGGTTGACCTTGACCCTGACCTTGACATCTGTACATCGTCGAACAACATGTTCCATGATAGGTGGGAGGTAAGACTGGCAAAAAAGGCCGAAATCAAGGCGTCAAAAGCTCACAACGTCCATAGCCAACGCAATATGTGGAGAATTGGTCATTTGGGTCATGACATGACCTGAAAAACAAGCTCATATCTCCGAAACCAAAAACTACAGAAACTTGAAATTTTCAGTGGACATCAGGAAAGGATAGGGGAGCAGCTATACAAAAAATCAGGCTACTAGCTCAAAAATGTTGAGTGCAGAGCAGAAAGACTAACTGGCAACCCCCCCCGTGTGCGGGGGAGGGTTAAAGTTGTTTCGTTGCTTACTCGTTGTTCATTCTTTCTTGTCACCAGAAGACAAATTGAAAATGTGCTAAGATTTCCCAAAATTAAATATAAATGGACTTTCTAGATTGCTTTCGCATATAAATGATTTCTCGTTGCAGCTCTAGATGGCAGAGGTGGACGGGCCAGCCTTCTGACACCGACCGGCGCCCCGACCGGCGCCCGCGGACTGCTGACCGGTCACGTCCCGCCCAGATTTCCCACCTGACCGGCCGCTGTGCAGAATTCAGCCGCCAAACTGTCTCTGCGGACACTCGCCGCTGAGATATGTGATCTCCGCCGTCTCCCACGAACGGCTCGGCGGGAGTGGCACGACCTCCTCCGTTAGGACGGGTCGGCGGAGGTGCGCGTGAGCTGGAGGGAGTGTCATTCTGTCGGGGTGGAGCGTGATTACGTAATTTGGACGTGAGAACGTAACAATGTGATGTGGATTGAGAGAAAGTGCTTTTAAATTTTAATACGCAGAAGACATGCGCCTAAGTTTGAGTAATTCGCATGAATTCTGGATTACTGCTATTTCAATTGGGTATAAACTGCATGTGCCTGAATGAAATTGACAAAAATAAATGGTTGAAGCTCAGTTCATTTCTCTGAACCCAGAACTCTCTTGGGCCGTGTCAAGAGTTAGGTTGTAACTATACTTTCCTGCCACCGAAAATGAGATGAATGACAACCTACAAATGTCATTTAATAAATCAAACGCCCACAGGGATATCGAATTAGGGCCCGTTAATTTGCTTTTGTCGACGGTGCTATTTCAGAGGCCCGCGATGATCTCTCCCAACAACACACGCGGCTTTCTGAACACTCTGTATTGCATTAGTACTGCGACTATAATGCAAACGGGTCGGTGACTACATAGCACGGTTAGTTCGGATGGCACTATAGGCGACTCCCCCTAGAGCGCGCGCAACTGGCCTTTGTACGGCGTAATCTCGCCCTTTCCATGTCTGGGCGACACTCGGCGCTCCGCTCCACGCACGGACCGCCACCGGGCGTGGACAGAGGCAGACGCGCTCTCTGCAGGCCCGACACAATGAAAGCCAGTGTTACAAGTGCACATGGATACGACATAGGCTCGCAGTTCATCCAGCAACACCAATACTCTCGCACATTCGCGCTCGTCCCGCCGGCAGTCCCACAGGCACGGCTCCCGCGCGCACCGCATCGTCTGTTAATACAAAACATAATTACTTTGTTTCTATCACGGACAGAATGACTCCACTATCACATGGCACTGGCGTTCGCGCCGCGCTCGGCCGGCCGCTGCGAGTTCAGACTGACCTCGGGTCGGGTCAGGGCGCCGGTCACTGAACTCAGGTCAGCGCAGGGCGCCAGTCACCAACCTCGGGTCAGGTCAGGGCGCCGGTCACTGGCAGGGCGCTGCTCGTCGATCGCTCACCGACAGTCGCCGTCCATCGGCACTTCCACTGCTGCCGCGCCACTGACCGGCAGGTCGGCCGAGCTCAGCCCCGAGGCGTTTAGACGCTCCGTCTGCTGCGTCGGCGCCGCTGTGTGTCTCGACTGGGTGACCCCTCACGGCGGCGATCAGACCGCCTCCCGCGGCTTCTACCTTCTGACCAGCACCGCCGCGGCGACCGAGAGCAGCAGGGGAGACAGCACGGGCCGCCACCGGCGCGCCGACGACGTCAGACATTCGGCTGAAACAGACACAATCGACAGAATTAGACTAGATAGTTACATTGGTCGCACACGGCATATACGTACGCATCTCACAGGCCACAGCGTCACTTGCGGGCCGGGAAGTGTCCCGTATGCAGCGCAGCGGGCCTTGTTCACACTGCCCGCCGGGATCCCAGTCGGCCCGTCCCGCCCGCCCGTGACAAGCCAAATTAGTGCGCGGTTTAATAGACTAAAGGGCTGGCGCAGCGCGGTGATGAGACACGTCCCCAGACCGCCTTTGATGTGGATGGCCCTCCTCGGCATCATAGGCACCGAGATTTAAGCGGGGCCGTCCCGTCCGAAACGATTTTGGCACACAACTGAACAGGAGGCACTTCTTCAACTTCATATTCTTGTTTAATATGACAACGTCAAACGCTTGCTTCTCGCTATAACCATAACAGAATAGAAACTACCAGAGCAGCCTCATATTTTTCAACAGCACAGAGAGAAAGTTAGCTCTATGTTGAACTCAAATCGCCGCTCCGTAGCTGAGCAGCGGGGTACCAAGGCCCGGCCCGGTCTGGACACCGGGCCAGCTCAGTATAGCTGTGTGTCCAGTTTCCGTCGGCGGCCGACCGAGCCTCAACCTCGGCGGCTGCAGGGCGCACCTGACAGTGGCGGCCCGCTATAAACTCGGCTCAGTCACCCCTATCTGCGCGCCCGGTGCGGCCGTGGCAACTTGGGACCGTAAATTGCCGTTATCCGCCGGCTCTCGGCGCCAGCTCCGTGTGCCGAGCGGTGCGCATCTGCCCCGGGCTGGGAGAGGTCGGCAGCGGGCACCGTCCCCGACGGCCGCTCAGTGACGGCTGCAGGGAGGCCCCTCAGGGACCCTCCACTGGTCGTATAGGGGACGAGGTCCTAACGGCAGCTCAGGGACGGACACAGGACGGCCACTCAGCATCCCTCCACTGCTGTATAAGGAACGAGACCCTAACGGCCGCCAGCAGACCCTGAACGATCGTCCAGAACCCTCCACGGGCCCACGAGAAGCGAGAATGACTTACAAATGCGATAGCCGATAAGCGTCGCAATGTACGAATTGCATTTTGTAGTTCATGGTTTCCATTCAAATAATGTATATCGTTTATCTACTATATAGTAGTATGTATCTACTAGTAGTTAGTAAGTCTTTTGTAAAATACTAATTGAAATCGCATCGGTATCTGCCATTTGTACGGGGAACCGCAGTTGCTACTGTACACGAACCCCAACTCTAGCCGTCTGTCCTGTCCAGTAACAACCGATAACATTGATATCGACTGCCGGCCCCTGTACAAGAGCAGCTGAGGTTTTCTGTGCGTGCCCTCTGACAGCTTATCGTTGTTCCCTGTGAGGGTGCTGGGACAATTTACTCAGGGTCGCTGTACAGTAGCAACTGCGGGTCCCCGTACCTACATGGGTACATTTTGGACCTCTTGAGGCATCTTTATAATAGACCTTTGTCCCTTCCCCTTATATTTCACTAATTGCACCGTAAGCTGGCTCTGGAAGGACACAAAATGGAATGGAGAAAGCGCTGTTCGCTGACGCTACATTTCCACGCCTGAAGCACGCAACGCTAGAGTCATGGTGTGACATGCCCACTGTGATATTTATGGTGGAACGTGATGTCATGGTAATAATGGATGATGTGGCACCCCCGGACACTACACACAGACAACTTATTACCACTTTCGAGCACCAGTGTGATATTTATACACCGCGTTATTTATTCAAAGAAGTATCTGTCACCGGCTGACCGAGGCTCAATCTAAATCGGTAGACGCCCATGCAATCGTTCGACCTGTGCCAAAGAAAACTATGTCTGTCACTAACTGATTGCTGGCAGCCCCGTTTAAACAGAGCGCTTTAATAACGCTATTTTATTTTGAGGCGACCATTAAGGTAGAGCTGGGACCGAATGGCTCCGTGTCGACTGTCAAAGCAGGAGCGGCAGGCCCGCAATACGTCAGTGTGCTGCGACACAGTATAACTTTCAGGCATCAATCGCGGGCCGTACCCCGACTGCGCTCGGTCCGAGAATTGTGTTGGCTTGGATGATGAGAATGGCAGAGGACATCGATTAATCAACGGCTGGTAAAGTTCACCGCTGATTGGATAAAGCCATCGTTGACCGCAATGTGCACGTGACTGCACGCTAGACGAGTGACAATCTGATGAGCGCAGGCATCGCCGTCGCTGCTAAAATCACCACACTCCGATAGCCATTTCCACGACGGTTATCTAGCATCTGTATTGTATTGTATTGTATTGTATTGACGATCAAGAGCAATCCACAATCGGCGTGGCGATTACACTCCGAGTCCGAGCTGGTTGAAGATAACACAAGAAATAGGTACCTACACAAGAAAACGCACACACTTACGGATACGAAATACACAACGCGAACGCCGAACACGCACATACTTGGTGTAACCCGCACGAAGCCGCGTTCATAACTATGTACACACAGACTCGTTTGCCTTTCATAGTCCAAGAGTCATGAGGCTAGCTACTATGGCTACTCTGGCTAGGCTTAAGCCCCTTTTTTACAGCACGGGCAAATCTGGCTGGAGGCAACTGCGTTAGTTCGAGGGGGAGAGTATTTAGGAGCGCCGCGGCACGGTAGGCGAATCTACGTTTTCCGGTCTCTAGTCGGGGTCGCGGTAAGTGGAAAAGGTGGTCTTGGCGAGTAGACCTTGCTCGTGTTTGGGAATTTTTGGAAAATAGGGTCGCGATCTCCTCGGGTTCACCTCTGTGGATGGCCTTGTGCGCCGTGATAAGGGTATGGTATTCAGCCATTGTTTTAGGTGCCATCCAGCCGAGTTGGTCCCGGAGATGGGAGACATGATCAAATTTACGGCGACCGAAAATGACTCTAGCGGCAAAGTTAAGAATTTTCTGAATGCGATCGAAGTTCTTTTGGCTGCCATTACCAAATACGGAGAGACAGTACTGGATCCGTGACATGACGAGAGCCACCACTAGTGTCTTGGTGACACCGTCGGGGAGATAGTGGCGGACATGGGAGAGGCCAATTAGGAGACCCGTGCATCGGCGACTGAGCTCGGACACATGCGCGTCCCAGGACAGGGTGCCGTCGAAGATAACGCCCAGGTTGCCCACCTGCTTGCATGGCACTAGTTTGGTGTCGCGAAAAGAAACGGTGAAAGCAGGTATGCTTCTCAAATTTTGCCGACTGCCGAAAACCATGAGCTGAGTTTTAGCAGTGTTTACTTTAAGAGCATTTGCACTGAACCAATGGTCGAGAGACGCCAGTGACGCTTCCAAGCGCGAGATGAGTCCCCTAAGGTCGTTTAAAGGGCCACCCACCAACAATTGAGTATCATCAGCGTACTGGAAGACTGCTGCATCCTCAGAATAAAGTGATAGATCATTGGAAAATACCGTGAAGAGTAAGGGACCAAGTGCCGAGCCTTGAAAGACGCCCATAGAGTTGGGGAGAGGTTGTGATAATACCCGGCGACCGGACTCGTCCTTCAATGACACACTCTGTGTGTGCCCCTGGAGATAAGCGGCGAACCAGGATGTCTCTATGCCGTGCATTGCCAATTTAGCGAGTAATAACTCATGGTTGATGACATCAAAACATTTGCTTAAATCAATAAGGCATAGCATAGAGACATCCCCCCTATCGGTGGCGGCCAGGATTTGGTCACTGACGGACAGAAGTGCTGTCTCAGTTGAGTGCCGGGGTCGGAAACCGTGCTGGGTATTGGCCAGAAGATGGTTTTGGGAGAGATAGCGATAGAGCTGTTTGTGAATGACTCGCTCGACCAGCTTCATAATGACAGGTACTAAGGAGATAGGTCGAAAATTAGTGGGATCAGATGGGTTTCCAGACTTGAAGATGGGGTGAACTATAGAGTGTTTCCAATGAAAGGGGATATCGGACCTTGAGATGCAAGTGTTAATGATGTGAAGGATAACGCCACCGATAGATGGGAAAGCAGTTTTCAGCATGCGAATGCAGACGCCATCAGACGCACAGGCGGCAGAATTGCGCATATTGAAAACGGTGTGACCGAGTTCACCGAGAGAGATAGGTCTGGGCTTAAATCTACCGGTTACGACACGCGGCAAACGGCCAATTTGCTCAACAACTGGATTTTGGTCACGGATCTCTGTAGCGACGCGGGGACCCACAGAAACGAAAAAAGAATTTAAAACGTCAGCCGATACATCAGGTTGAACACTAGGTCCGTCTTTCTTACCAGCCACAACCGACCTAATACTTTTCCACACCTTGTTGGGACCCCGCCCACTAATCTCTCTGTGAAGTTCGCCGCGACGGTCTCGTCGCACTGCGGCCCGGACAGTTCGGTTTAAGTCTTTGTAAACCTCCGACTTTCTACCGAACTGCTGTAACGCGGTACGTCGTTGATCCATGATTTTAAGTGTGGCGGGGGTAACTGGTGGTGCTGTAGGATTACGGATGGTAATATTCTTTATAGGTGCGTGATCGTCAAAAATCGGCAGAAATTCGGTCAGGAAAGCATCCCACTGGTCACTTACGTTCGTGGCACTAAACACGCCCTCCCAATCGGCAAACATCAGGTCAGAGTTCAGGGCATCGACATCTATACGGTTGATCGAGCGGGATTGAACAACTGTAGGATTTTTGCGTTGTTTCGGAACGTTAATAGACACACGAAGGAGTTTGTGTGGGCTGAAGTGGCAAAAGGATGCAGAGCAATCACGCACAAGCTCTCTATTTTTAACCATACAGACGTCTAGCAACGAGCCGGAAGTGTACGTTGGAACGGTTACAAGCTGCTCAAGAGAATAATTCGATAAAAAGTCACTGAGGTGTACACGCGCACGAAAACTCTCCTCCTTCAACATATCACAGTTTAAATCGCCACAGATCATAAATGGAATCTTGGGAAAATCAATTAATACACGCTGTAACTGCGTCTCGAGGTCCGAAAAGTCAGCTCGCAGAGCGGCATCGGTCTGTCGGGGCGGCCGGTACACAGAGCAAACAATTAACTGGCGATTTCGTTCGAGCTTGAACAACATCCACCGAGTTTCCAGGAGACTGCCGGGGTGCGGGGATGTGCTCGGTTTGATGGTCACAGTTTTCATATCCGTTTTTGACAGTACGGCGACCCCGCCGTAGCCGCTGCCGTCTGGTCGGTCGACTCGGCTGAGAGAGTAGCCGGGAATCACGAGAAGTCGATTTGGAGTAGAAGGGCGCAGCCAGGTCTCGGCCAGGAGGCAGGCGTCGAGATCGTGACGGTTTAGTTCTTCGGTGAGTTCTAGTAGTTTTGGCTTCAGGCTTTGAATGTTCAAAACGCCGATCAAAAGACCGGTGTTTGCTGTCTTTGTGAGCCGGCGGGTTTCCGAGATGGTGAGTCGGGCCGGTTGGGTGAGGGTTCTGTGACTGGGCTCCTCTGGTGCGCGGGTCGTCGCGCGGTGCTGCCGGCCGGACCCACATACGACCCACATACGAAGTATGATCCGCCGTCCGTCATCTGCGATAGGTACTCTGTTCGCGCAGTAGCCATTGACCCGTCACCACCCCGCCGGCCCGCCCGGTGCGTCTCATTCCGAGCCCGCTGACCGGAGGCGCCGGAAGTGTTCAGCCATGCATCCTATCAGCGGCGCTGCATATTGCACCGAGCAGCGGCGTGACCCCAGCGGCCGGAGGGCAGCGTATTCTCAGCCGGATCGATGCCGCTCCAGTGAGGAAACCGGGCCGGGCCGGGCCGGGCCGGGCGTCAGTCTCACATGACGGCGGCGAATTAATCCACCTGTGGCCGCCGGGGCACCGCTCGCACGGCACACGGATCACCGGCCAGCGCAGCGCCGCCGAGCAACAGCCAGCCACTGTTTGACCAGACGGCGATCGAAGCTGCAGTTTTATGCATGAGTTCTAGCTTCCGGTGATTAATGCTCTAATCTTCGCTCGGCTGCAAAATCGGCGATAGAACTTCAACGTCCTGAATTTTATCGGATCTGAGCAGAAGATCAGAAATCGCTTATACGCGCGCTCGGGCCGGAGTGTTTCCGAGCGGCCGTCGTGTCCTGTTACGTAGCTCGATCCGAGAGCACCTGCCAATCCTTTTAGCGTTCGCTGTTTTCGCAGTGGCGATGTCTCAGCCAATTTCAGGCGACGCGCCGTCGTTGCCCACCAGAAGTTCAGCTATTGACAGCAATAAACAAGATATGCTCACCCTCGTCGGAAATGGTGGAGCACTTTGTCACGGCCACCAAATATGCTGGAAGACGACTCAACTTTCAGCCGGCAACGAGGGCCGACCACTTTGAGAGCGAGGCCCGAGATAGACTGACGGCTGCGGCGCAGTCTATGCTCAATGGTGCAGTTCCTGTTCCGCTGGATGCACGCTGACGTTTGCTTTGCCTCCAGCAGGGCATTTCCTTGGACGAATTGACTAGAGTGAGACGGATGGGTTCAACTGCTGTGTGGCTTACACCATCACGCCATGCAATCGTATAGCGGCTAAAAATAGCCGCCAACGTGCCGCTGTGGATAAAGTTGGAGGGCTGGTAGTAGAAAGTTGCTCTAGTCCGAAAGGCAATGTCATTTACTATTTCATGGCAGATCCCAATAGCCAAGTGGCAGGGAATCGATGCCGCCCTGAAAGCACGCGGATACATTGGGAGTGGCGCCGACCCAGCTGGTTCCCCTAAATTACACCGCTCCTGCGCTCCCACGGCAGTAAAATAATGCCAGTTCAAAAGTCAATCGGCCCCGGAATCACGCTCATCTATCAGACTGCGATTCCATCAAACCGGCCGTCTGTGCCGAACGGCCGCGCCCGCAGACGCCAATCCATCGGGCTCCAATGGTCGGCTAACCGGCCGCCGGCGCGCCTATAGCGGCGGACTGCGCGGGCGGTGAGGCCGCCGCGCGCCGCTCCGTGGTATTGCCCTCAGCAGGTGTCGGTGGTGCATACAGGGGCCGGGCTGCGGTATGGCTGATGAGGTGCTTCCGATCGGAGCGCTTTATTCATTCATGGTGCAGTGACCGGTCGGTGACCTACCGACGGCTACGTGAGCCCGTGATTGAGTGACACGACACGCACAGAAGGACGTCTAGGCCTGAGATGCATTGTTATTCCACATCCTTGACGGGAAGACAATCACGATTCACTTTCCTAATGCTGGCGAGGCTGAATAGCCGTTCGTAATTTTGTTCTATGATGGTGGTGACAATAAACCAAGCTCGGTTACGTTATTTGATGTGATACCATTCCAGGCTTTGGCCGCAGCTATTCTGGATTATATTGTCTGAGTCGCGCCGGCTGAGCTGTCGGGTCTTCATTATTGCAGAATAATGCATTATAAATTATCTGTCGCCATTTAATTTCCAACAGTGTCTGACTGCTACTGCCAGTCGCTGCGTTCTGGGCGCCAACAGGCGGCGTTAACGCCAGCTCGCACTTCGATTAATTCGCTCGCCTCAGCAGGGAGACCGACACCGGTCGAAGACTAATCCGGCCCGGACCGCTGCCGCAGTCACTCTAAATAGCTCGCCGGTGCATTATCATTCCTCCACATCGCCATGAATCACTCCACCGCGCTGTTGACTGGGCCGTATCCGAAACCGTTCTAAATCACTCACGGCACGCGACCGTCAACAACGAGCAAACAGGCCCCGACGACCGCTCACAGCCGGACCCTTTGAACCCGAACTGTCGATACGACCTCTCCGGTTCCAACGAGGACGAATGACGGTGCTGTAGCTCATGCGTTTGATATATAACCGCCGTATGAAGCATTGAATAGCTGCTCGCGCTGAAGGGAAGACAGATCAACCTTTACAGACCTGTCATTTGTTAACATGCGACCCGCTGGCTCACCGAAGTTCAGTGTCCTGCCAACTAGCAAAATGAGCCAGGTTTTTCGTGATGACAAATGGAGTGTTTTGCACGATCGCTTTGATATTTTTGTCACGGATATAAATTGCAGTTGAGCGGGTAGCATAAGAGCTAGACTGACGCCTTAAATTAATCGGTAAGCTTTTAAATTACTTTCTAAGCGACAAATCACGTGATAGTGTATATGGGCATATGTCAACGGCTTCCCTTGGTTTGCGACATAAACGTGAACACGACCGCTTTTCTTAAAATTATTTAGCTGCTATTATTCCCTTACTGTGTAATTTAGTCCCTCATTTGCAACGCTTCTATTCACCTCCAAGATTGTCTCGGTGCATTGAGCGCTCCGGTTCTGTCTGAATGGCAACAAAGTCGACTTCATTACGAGCTGGCTTAACCAAGCCCTGCACCAGATTTATGTATGTCAGGAGGAGGGCCCCTCTTCTACAGTCTGGATGACGTCACCAGGAGCCTACTGATGACGTCGCCACTGCTAACGTACTTACCCCGTGCTGTGACGTTGAAGGTGAGCTCGCCCTCCACGCCGGGGCGCACGGCGCGCGAGCAGGTGCGCATGACGCGCGAGAAGCGCAGATTGTCATCGGCCACCGAGTAGACGAAGCAGTAGTGACGCGTGCTCTCCCACGGGTGGCGGCGCGGGGAGGCCACCAGGTAGAACGTGTCGTTCTCCTGCCAGCTGCCGTGGCACGAGAACGCTGCCGCACCCGGAGGGAGGTGTTAGATGGGGCGGAGACGGCAGGGGGACCGGGCGAGGGATCAGGGTCAGCGGGGACGGCACTCCATATGTAGAATGGTGGACATTACGGAGTACCTACAAATGATTGCACCGACATGACAGTGCTCCATTACAGATAATGACAGTGCCGAGCTGCCCTTTGGGCGAAGAACCCAGCCGTATGCACATGTTGGGGAGTTATATGTAGTACTCTGACGTTTACTCGATCCGTGTGTCCGAAGAGCATCATTGTTGCGTAAGATATGTGATAAGTACCGTGAAAGACTGTGACGTCAAACATGCCATTGGTCATCACCCTACAGGAATGGGGAGCTATACAGCTCAGTTTGTTGCATGAGCCCATCGGTCTCCTTGGGGCATCACAGGGCCACTTAGATAGAACATCGCGTCTTAACACATACATTCAGCAGCATTTATCATAACATCTGCCTATGTGCACTCCAGTGACATGTTACATAACTGCAATGCATTTGTGGGGCACCTGCCCAACCACTCATAAGCCCATTGAAGCAGTAGCCCTTGAAACCTGTTATTGAGCACTGTGCAGCAACGTCGCTAATGGACAGACAAATGGCCTCCCCATTCACTCCCTCTGCCCATTCACTCCCTCTGCCTCTCTGCGACCGGTCATGGACCGAGTGGACGCCTACAGAGGCGGCTACAGATGCTGATCACCCCTCCTCTCCTGTCCGGCGCCTGATTAGCACCGCGGGCGGCTCGTGGAGGGTGCCAGGACGGGCCGGTACGGCTGGAAGGGAAACGAGCCAGGCGCGGGCGGTGTCCGGTGAGCTCATCAGCATCGGTGTCCGCCGCCTACCGCCCGCCGACCACAGTCCGCCGCCAGCCGCCCTCCGCCCACCGGCCACCGCCTGGACCACCGTCTGGCCCGGCCGCCTACCGCCCTCCGCCCTCCGCCGGCCGTGTGAGCGAGTTCCTCCGTAACCAGGCAACTATCGACCCCATCAGGTGACGAACGCCAGACCGATACCGCCGCTCTGTACGAGAGCACTGTCGCAGCATGTGTCGCCCCGCATCACCGCGCGGTCAAAGTCGCACAATCAGCCATGGGGCTTTGGCGCGTCGGCTGAACTACAGCCTCGCCTGATCCTTAGGTTGGGCATGAGTGGCGTAAGGCTGACTTTTTAATAAACGTTTTCATTGTCTATGTGTTAGGAGATATTAATGAATGATACGTTCTTCTGCTAGAGTTTGCGTCGATGCTGCTCTGTCCTGACATATAGCTAAATAAACAGCAATCAGCACTCAGCAGACAACATATAAGAATTTTCGCTGCGTTGAGTTCATATTATTACAGCGAACGTAGGCGAGTTAGCCACATGCTGTAAGTTGACCTTGAGTGAAAAGCTACGAGATACATTTAGCATGACAAATCCCAGAAGCAGTCTACAGGTAACCTGTGAGATTTCCTCTGTCACCCTTGACGCCAACATGCTTTCGATTGCATCCCAGCCGGAATAACCGTCGACTTGTTATGACAATATAGGAGCATTTACAAGTTCCCGCTGTCCCGCGGTCATGTTGTTCCGAATCGGTCGTATTTCACAGAAAAGCTGAGTGGGCGCGAAAAACGCATGCCGTCTTCGCTCTCTTGACAGGCCTGGTTTGAAAAATAAGCGCAGCCTTGGAAACGGCCATCTCTGAAGATCATCAATGACACCTGATGAGTGATAGTAGCTCAAATGATGGCGTGTGTTGAAATATCGCCACATTTTTTTATGTGACGTACAACTAGGAATTTAACTTAGATAACTTTGAGAGGTCCGTCGACCACCGAAGATGCCCAATCCTTAGGGCAAGGCGAGGAGCAAAACGACACTTTTTGATATGGTGTGTGACTGACCTACGTTAATATATACTCGTATCTTCTTCAAATGAATTGTACAAATAGCATATTTAATAAATACTGTTTATGACTAATTCACATTTATACATTCGTACTTAAAACGTTGTAGTGTTTGACATAGTTTCCTAAATTTCCAGTGGAATGCCCAAGGGAATGTATTGCTGATCTTTCATAGCTAGACACATTCTTAAAGCATGCTTTCTTTTTAAATATCCTTTTCGAAAGTAGTTAAACATTCAGAGGAACTGGCTGTAGTAGGAAACCTTCTCCAAACTACCGGGCTTCTCAAAAAAGTCAGACGAGTTTATAACTAACGTATTGAAGAGTGTATCAGTGTAACAAAACATAATTGGGTATCACCTAAAAGCCTCATCAAAGAAGCCTTTTTTGCCTCATCAAAGAAGCTTTTTTGAGAAGCCCGGTAGAATACTGTCCGTATATTTACATATATTATTTTCCATTCTCTGGTCAGTCACCGGGGTGTTATCACACATCAATACCGGAACTCGTAAGCATCTTAGTGCGGCATCTTTCTCTAATCTCACAGGATATAGGGAAACTTTTCCATCACACTCCGTAAGTTGGCTGCCAAAGTTGCCAGAAGTGGCGGAAAGCTCATTGGCGCCGCTGCCGTTGTCGGTTAGGGTCTCGCTAAATAATTCCTGGCCAGCGCGGGCATGCGGACTAATCAGGGCAGCGGGCGGCCCCACTCCGACCACGCGCGCGCCTGGGACAATGCACGGCTCAGCAGACCGCGGCGGTACCCCACGGCCCGACGGGCGCTGAGGAACGCGGTGGCAGAGCGCTTATAGAGGCGTGATATGGCAGCTCAGAACGTCAGGCAAGTCGGGTACGGCTCTCAGTTCAACGGCGCCTTTCAGTAGATGGGATGTGTTGTGACGTGTTGTGTTTGTGCCTGGCTATCTTTTTGAATTATCTTGCCTTTAACTTTGAACAAATGGAATTACCATCGCACCTGCGTTGTTCAACCAGAGAAGATTAAATACCCACGGCTTATGAACCGTTTGAAGTTCGTTACAGGAGCGCAATGCCGCAGTTAGTTTCATACGGCCTCGTACAAATTGCTGGTCCACAGCGTAATGAGATAAAAGTTTTAGAAATGAGTAGTTTAAGATAAATATTCTAGTTTTTTTTATAAAGTGTGAACGTGAGTACATACAAGAGTGCTAAGAAACGAGGACAACTTATATTGTTTGTTTTGCTGGGCGAGAAGTATAGAATAACAGACAGCAGCCTGAACAAACTGTGCATCAGAAGTACAAATGTCTAATGTCTATGGGTGGTTGAGTAGATACTGCTCATTTATCCCTTGTACACATACCAGCGACAATTTAGGCATTTTCAGCTCACTGCAGTGAGCTGAACTGGTGAGGATCCTTTACTCTATAGGTACTGGTCAGTCACTGGTCGCTGTCGCAGCTAATTCAATTCTGGACTGGTTACTGACATTGTACTTACTAGAAACTTACCTTTGATTTCGCCTCTGAGGTTATCAACCCACCCCTAAACTGGTCGCTGACGTCACTTACTCACCTTTGAACTATTCGCTGACGTCACTAATTACCCTCTGGACTGGTGACTGACGTCACTATCTCACCCCTGGACTGGTCGCTGACGATTATAACTCACCTCTGGACTGGTCGCTGACGTCATTAACTCACCTCTGGACTGGTCACTGACGTCATTAACTCACCTCTGGACTGGTCGCTGACGACAATAACTCTACTCTGGACTGGTCACTGACGTCATTAACTCACCTCTGGGCTGGTCGCTGACGACAATAACTCTACTCTGGACTGGTCACTGACGTCATTAACTCACCTCTGGACTGGTCGCTGACGTCATTAACTCACCTCTGGACTGGTCGCTGACGACATTAACTCACCTCTGGACTGGTCGCTGACGACAATAACTCTACTCTGGACTGCTCACTGACGTCATTAACTCACCTCTGGACTGGTCGCTGACGTCATTAACTCACCTCTGGACTGGTCGCTGACGACAATAACTCACCCCTGGACTGGTAGCTGAGGATTATAACTAGATAACCTCTGGACCGGTCATTGGCGGTAATAACTCACCTCTGGACTGGTCGCTGACGTCATTAACTCACCTCTGGACTGGTCGCTGACGCGGCCGGCCAGTACGATCGTGTCGTGCGACTGACAGCCGACTCGCAGCGCGCTGAACTCTGGCGTCAGTGCGCGCTCGTCCCGGTCGCCACCCTCCCGATCGTCCGGGTCCCGGGCAGAGCGGGACTGGCCCGTGACGCTGTACTGCCCCAGGTGGGGGCACACCACGTGGTGCTGACTGGAGGCTGCAACACGGACGGCAGCACACGCGTCAGAGCGCAGCCCGGTGCCAAACGCTTTCATGGCACGGCACGATATGTCACAATTCACAGCAAAATACCTAGCGTATACGTTTAATTACGGTACGATACATAGCAACAAGTCACGGCAAGTCACAAAACGTCACGACATGTCACGAAACTTAACTAAACACGTTACACGACACGTCACGGCTCATCAAACGGGTTATACATCACGGCCGGGGGACGGCGCGGAGGAGCTAATCCCGAGGAGTGGTGCACGTCGTGCGTTACGCTCTCCGGCCGGGGTGGATCGGATTTTACGGCAGGGGTTACGACAGCTCGCGCCCGAACCTGTGCGAATGCCAGCTCGGCGCACTAAAGCCTCGGCCGCGCCCATATGAGGGGAATTTTGCGACCGTTGCCGAGGAAAATGATAGCAGTTCTGGAGTCGGTTGACGCAATAAAACTGATCTGGAGACCCATCCTTCAAACATGGCACTAAAACCCCAACCTTCAGACCAGTTTCATTACACGAGATGCAATTCCATTTTATGAATTAAGTCTGAAGGCTTTTCGTTAGATGACTTCCGAACTCCTATTCCACAGGTCAGGACGTTCCCCCCGACCGGCCAGGGAGTGCGCCCGGGCGTCATATTTCTACCCAGCCGCCGCGCCGCCTAGATGGAATCGGTCAAATCCGCTCAACGTCATTTTTATCATAACTTGGCTAAAAGCATCGCTTATATGACTTAGATATGACTGATCCGTACATAATACTTTAGAGATTGTCATGCGCTGCAGGAAATACAGCTAGCAAAACTTTCAGACAAACCAGCACTTGGCGTTCAGCCAAGTTCGCCTTCAAGACTCTGCATTGTTGTTTGCTCTGCACAAAACTCTGTTATGGAGATAAGTTTTTGTTCGATCGGCCTGCTGTCGATCGGCTGCTGTCCTAGCCGAGCAGTGGCGGATACTCACAGACTAGCGTCTGGTAGTCGGCCTTGTGTCTGGCGAAGTTGTGACGGGCGCACGCGCTCTCGGCATCACGCGTCACGTCTCCCAGCTGGCTCTCCATGACGTGGCCGTCACGGCGGTAGAACGCCATGCACTGGAAGCCGCTCATGCTGCCGGACACAGGGGAGGGCACAGTGTCAGCGGCGGCAGTGTCAGTGGTTGCAGTGTCAGCGGTGACACCCAGCAGGGCCCTGCACGAGTAGAGAAGGCACGGCACTACGCTCTACTGGCCACTCCTGTATCCAGACCAACGCACTGTTCACCCCCCCCCCCCGTCCCGTCACTACTCATCACCATCACCCTCCCTCTACCCCCCCCCCCCCCACACACACACTCACCAGCCGGTGGTGCTGCGCACGACGAACAGCGCGCGGCGGGCGCCCTCGGAGACCACCCGGTCACACTCGAGGTGGGTCTCCTGGTCGGCGCCGGTGACCACCAGGCCGGTGCCGTTCCGGTTGAACTGGTAGCTGGTGGCGCGGTCCAGCGAGTGCCAGCGCCGGTGGCCGCTGGCCCAGAGCGGCAGCCGGCAGCGGCTGCGGGCGGCCGGCGCGCGCCGCAGACTGAGCCGCGTGCTGCCGTCGCTGGTGCTGAACAGACCGCTGCAGGTGGCCTCGGCCGACTCGGCCAGGTGGTAGTCGAGCAGCGGCTGCTCCTGCGGCTTGGCGCGCTCGTAGATGAAGCAGCGGAACGCGTCCTCGTGGCGCGCGATGTTGGGTGAGACGCGCCGGGTGACCAGGTATCGCGCCGAGCCCTCCTTCCACATGCCCAGGCACTCCATCTCCTCCACTGCGGGGACAGCGCCGGCTCAGTCAGGGATCGGAAAAAGGTCTCAGAAACGCACGAGAGGGTTGGGCCTGACGTGTAACGTCTTTCTCACGAAATGTTTCATAAAAGAAATAGTTACGATAGGCACAATACCCAGCTGACCACCTACACTTACAGGCTCGGATAGCAAAGTTCCACGAACGCGTGAATCAACAGGCTTCTTCACTCAAAACTTTTTTACTACCTCCTGGAGGGTTCATTTTCATCAAACCAGCAAGATAAGAGTATATTGAAAGGGTAACTCTTTGCTACCATTATGTGCATAGTAACGGTACGTGGTTAATATGAACTTATTCGCCAGCGAAGAGTATTATTACCATGTAAATATCAATATTACTCTCGCGATCCAGAACATCACGAAAACTCTTTCCTTCTGGGTATCGTGACTCGTGTACAGATAGTCGTTTCATGCGTGGATCTTGTTTACCCTCGTGAAGATGATATTTGAAATGGAATCACTCAGCCAATCAGAAACGAGATCGGCCGTTTGCGCGGTTTGAAGGCCGCGCGCATCTGTCAGTTTTCGGCCGTTGGTCTCCGAGAGCGGATGTGAGCAGTGTCGGTGCCGCGCGGCGTGGCCGTTGGTGATTGTGCTTGCGTGTTGTTCATCGCCTATAGAGCCTCTGCATGGACATTTTATTGTAAGTACCGATGTGCTAGAGCATTGCATGCCGTTGAGTGGTGCTAATTTGACCTGGTTAACAGGACCCCGTGCACGGCCACGTGGCCTAGGTTGTGAGTACGTACATTAATTTTGTTGTGATGCTACAAGCTTATGCATTTTGTTGGTGACTTCGAAAAAGCCTTGCACTGTAGTGATCCAGTCTCATTATCTCACGCAGACGGGCGACCACCCAGGAACGCCGTCGCTCTCTTCAAATATTGTGCGCTGTGCCTTATCCAATATGAGGGCGCTGAATGTCTTGTATTCACATTCAAAGTGCATTCAAGTTGTATCGTGGTGTTTATTTACCGCTTGTGCATTGCTGAACGCTTCGTATAAATTCGTATGCATAAGTGAAGAGTCTCACACAATGTTCATGGCTGGTGTGCCCCTCGTTTTGTTTGTACGGAAGCCAAATATACATTGTTGCTCTTGAAGCATGTTTTTTTTTTAGTTGGTGAGCTCCGGTTAACAGAAGCTTCGTGAAGCTTCTGAAGCAAGCGTCTGTGAGTCTGTTACCATCCTCTGGGGGGTTTACACTAAAGGAAAGAGTAAACATTACCATGTGACAAAGGGTAGGCCAGAAGATAATACTCTCTGTAGGAGGGTAAAGCACAGAGTAGATGATGCGTTACTCCCTAGAAAAGGGTCCCGTTTAAGATTTACCCTTTCAAAGAGTGTAACCCAAAAAATGTTACACTCTAGACAAGAGTAAATCAAAAGAGTTTACCATTCAGAAGATGGTAAAAAACGTCTGTGTGTCATGTTACCCCTCCCTGGCGAGTTTACTCTTCATGAAAGAGTAAAATTTACCATCTGGAAGGTGGTAAAAAACGTCTGTGTGTCAAGCTACCATGCTATGGCGGGTTTACCCTTCAGGAAATGGTAAAAAAGTTTTCAGTGTTGTTAAGCATGACGTAAAGGGCATAGTCCACCTACAATATGTAACACATCACGAAATCTGTCAGCATGCACGTTTCAAGATTGTGCTCATCCGCCAAAGCAATTTCATCAACTCAGTTACAAATGATTCTTTGAACAAAAGACTTTGAAGCTCCCTTCCGCATGTTTGATACGATTATGCTACACTCAGATTACATTTTGCACAATAGGTCAGTTGCATGATGTCCTTCCTCGGCTTGAAATTTACAGTTCTCATATTATCTGATTCTGTCCTCCAGCTATCTTTTTCATTCGTTTCAATAAATATCTGTAGAGATCCTTAGACCCCAACCACATATTAGTTAGTATGGGATATCTAAGATATCTGCTCTCTCGACACTCACCCGACTGTTCGGCGCTGGCCACCACGTCCACGCAGGCCTGGTAGCGGAAGAGCATGCGGTAGCTGTGGATGCACCTCTCTAGTCGGGAGTTGGGCTGATGGCACTCCTCCTGCAGCATGTGACCGCGCGAGTAGGAGAAGCTGAACGGCCCGCGCAGCGGACAGGCGATCGGCCGGTAGTTGACCCGGAACATCGAGTACAGCTGGATGTCACCGTTCACGTGGCCGCACAGAAAGTCCAGGTCGGGCGGCTTCGAGTCCGGGTTGCAGAACGCTGCCAAGGGCAGGGCGAGAAGGCCGGTCACCGGGCGCGGCGGTTCATACAGGTCACATGGTCATGTCGATTTATAACTGTTCATCACGAATTATTATGTACAGTGTGACATGTTTTACAATCTTAAAGCCATAAAAATTAATTACAGACAATTGCTTTTGAAGAAAACAACAAGAAGCTTTACTTACATTCTTTGTACTGGATGACGTTTACATGCTTTTCGTAGAATATCACGCACTTATAACATCGTCCAACTCTGAAATGAGCGAAGGGTCAACAGGTCGCATCTGTGCAATGCACTGACGGGAAGGCGTCAAACTCAAAACGATGTTGGTAGCCTTTCGCGATAGCGCTTTTGCTATTGCTCTTGCGATACATAAACAGCGAACCTCAGGGTTACGGCATTTTCTTATTGCAAAGTTTCCCGCATTATGTGCGTGTTTGTTCAGTCTGAAAATACAACTCATAGTGAACTTAGATACAACATACCTAATGCCTAGGGATTCCCGTTTACGAATGCGTCACTTACGCGTTGTGGACGACATATTTCTGCTGACTGGCCAGTGTGCAGTTGCCTTTCGAGCTGACTTCTTTGTCGGATATGCGGATCTCCTGATGAACGTTGGACTGGAACCAGGTTCCTCGCCAGTGCTCGGGGAACGAACATTCTGTAACACGGGCGGGGGCGGAGACATGAGACTGTCGTTACTGCACTACATGATGACGGACAGGAGTCGGTATCTAATGAGGAAGATACACGACGAATGGTAAGGCCACGATTACCTAACCATGCTTGGCATTATGGAGGTAAAATGAAATGCACATTTTAAGATTATATTTACATCACAAATTAGGTACCTATAATAATAAGCATCGCACGGGGACATGAATGAGGCACTGGCCACTTGTCTAAGGTAGTCGTTACATACGAGTACACTTTCTTATTGTTCTTTTTATCAATCGTGCTTTAAGTGTTTCCTTTACGCGACCGTCAATGCATAAGTGCCCGTTCGGGTACTGGCCCGCATGCCTGAGCCATATCAATTACGCACATTTGTCAGTGCATTGCCAGGCCGGGCATTTATTCGCAAATATGACTCCGCGAACAAAATTACAACAGAGCCGGGTGGCGGCGATTTCGGTATCAGCCCGACTGGAGCCGTGTCGTAAACCACCTTGCGGCCTTATGAACGCCGTCAGGCGACGGCCCGCTCGGCGCCAGCGCTAATATAGGTGCAAATCAGCGTGATACATACACTCCAAGGGCCGTGTCGTTAGTTCCGGCTCGGCGGCCGTTATTCGAATGACGGCCATTCCGTCGGCGATTGCTCCATCTTCGCCGCGGTCCGGCGACACTGACGGATGGGGCGCCGACAGGGGAGAGGCGGGGCCGATCCAGGGTCGCGGCCGACGCGTCGGTAGAGGGAGAGAGACAGAGAGGAGGGGCAGAGGTGCTGAAACAGCACTACAGATGTGCAGGGCGTGCTCGGGGCCAGAGTGGGAGCGAACTGATGAGTTGATCTGACGTCCGTAAAAATTGGATACAAATTACAACACTAAATCCTATTACGTCGTTTGCATTGACGTAAAATAGATTCACGAGGCCTAAAATAAGCTCACCTTGACATTGTGGCAAACAAGCGGCCGATATATCTCTCAAATCAGCTCTCAATCATCTCGATCTGTCTGGCTATTTTCCAGATAATGATTTATTTTTATAAATTCTGTCTGCGGACGGGCTGGCCGTAATGAACTGATTGCCGCCGAGCCGCCGGGATGAGCGGCACGTAAAGGTCGTCCGATGGCGCCTGCCGTCCGGCGCTCCTTCATTAGACACTAACGGGCGGCGGACGGAGGTCAGGGCGGCCACTCGACGGTCAGGAGTCATGACGCCACTCAATGGTTGGTGGTGAGGGTACGATGCAGATGGCAGACGGTGGAATATGTGGCCAGTGGACGGGAGACGGTGGACGATGGATGGTGGATGGTGAATGAATCTTTCTTCATTTCCTCTCTCTCTCTCTCTCTCTCTCTCTCTCTCTCTCTCTCTCTCTCTCTCTCTCTCTCTCTCTCTCTCTCTCTCTCTCTCTCTCTCTCTCTCTCCCTCTCTCTCCCTCTCTCCCCTCACGGGCCACGGCGTTCTGATGTCCCGCCGCCGTCCCACTAATGTCCCGTCCATGTCCCGTGTAGGACGCGGGACCACATCCGTGTCACGGCAGGGGTCGCCGAGAGCGACATGAGACGTCCGGCGGTGACACGCTCAGATTGCTCCTAAGAAGCCGCAGTTGGATTGTTCGCCGAAACTGTCACCGCTGTTAGTGGTCAGGCCGACTGGTTGCCATGGAAACGCAGTGATTGAAGCTGCTTGGAGTGTACGGGGGATGTCCTGAAAGCCTGTATGAATGTTAATCATGAGTGGTGGAGGATGTTCGGAGCCCAGCCGGCCGGCTGGGGATAAGGTCAGACCATTTGAAAACATGGTAGAACTGTATAAGGTTTCCGGGCATTTCTTGTACCAACAGAGGAATTTCCTGTACCACTGTAGGAAAAAATGAAGAAAAACGAAAACAAAATGAGTGGGAAAGACAAAAAAGGGGAAAGCGAATAACGGATGATGTATGGAAATGTCGCATCATACAAACCAGAACAGGAGCAGGAGAAGAGAAACAAATAATTTGAGAAAGACCTATAACAAGGAGAGGGAGGAAAGGGAGGAAATTAAGGAGAGGGAGGAAGACAGAGCGGGAGAAAAACACCGTGAGGATTGGGCATCCAGAAAAGCCGCTGGTCTGAGGGAGAGTGAGCGAGGGAAGAGGAGCTACTCTGAGGGAGGATGAGCGATCGGCGCGGCTCAGCACACTCGGTCCGATCCCACGCTCCGCTAACACGCCACTAACTGGCCTGTCAACAGAGGAATGCTGCTTACACATGCCCTGTGTGCATACATACACTGCGGCCGGCGACTGCCCGCGGCGGCACCGCCGACCGACGGAGGAGCCGCCGTGGGCCATCAGGGCAGCTGCACAGAACACAGGATAAAGGGTTAGAGAAAATTAGCCGACATGCGCCAAGTGTGGTGAATTACGGACAAAGCTCTTCAAGGCATGCAATCCTTTGGTATAGAGCAGGTGGACATTTCGACGTAAACTTTTAAGTTCAGTTTATTATCGGTAAGCGTTCGTTTAATTAGTTGTTGTGGTTGTTTTCATGCTTGGCGGTAATCATGACATGCTACCTCGCTTAGTTTTTCATCAATCACCTTTTGATTGAAATCAAAATAAGAAATTCAGCATTTCCAAATGATGACGCGTGTCTGCAGCTCCATCCCTAAATGCGCAATAGCTTCCTCTCAAAATAGCATCGCTGGATGAACAGCTTTACAGCACCGGTTGGAGAGTTGGCACCACCGGATCTTTGATCTTCGTATTCTGGGCCTCCATAAATAGAATTGGCTATATCCGGCGAAAAGGTGCGCTGAGAAGAGGCGTTTTACGATATTAGGTTTGCAAACTGGCGAAGTTTTCGTTAAATGAACAGCATCCTATTTTCCAGTTACTTCTCCCAAATATATCTGGATCAAAGTTCTAATAGTTTTCCAGGCACACCTCCGGTTATTCTGTCCAGATTCTCAGACACTTCATTGACGTTCTCGGAATCGCCACCGAACTTTTCACCCCTGGGTGCTGTGAGTTCTCTTCAGACCGCCGCCGATCACCGGTGCCTGCTCCAGTCTCCCTCTGTCTCCCTCAGTCTCCCTCCGTCTCTCGGGGTCCTCTCCCCCGCAGTTTCCACCGCTCCCCAGGAGACCGCCGCGGTCGGGCCGCCGTCTCCACACCGCTCCCGATCCCACCCCAGGGAACGGGCCAGGTGTGGACTAGACAAGCCGATCTGGCCACGGAAGGAGGCAGAGCGGGTGGCGAGGGACAGAGTCGGGAGCGGTCGCCCGGGACACCTCGTTACCTGCTGGGTGTGGAGTGTCGCTGAATTATTGAAAGGAAACGAATATATGTAGAGGACTTTCCTTTGCAGAGCCATCTTTGATGCTTTTTATCTCTCGCGAATGGACAGTTGTTCAGTTTCGAACAAACTTTGTGACGGCTAATTTTCCAGCCTAAGGAGAATGGAGACGATCTCCAATCGGCCACTGCAGTCAGGCGCGGTGGAAGAGACAATCCTGGGAAACGCTTCAGCTCGGAGAGCTGGCACCGCGATCTATCTAGCGAGTCGTTTAGGAACAGTGGAGGCTCTCGATTGGCCGTTAGGCGCTGCTGGCCTGGCGTAGAGCGGAAGTCGGACGGAGGAGGCGTTGGGATCGACTGTAAGAGGATCCACCTCGGGTCACCCGGACGGTGAGAGCGGCGGGCGGTGTAATGAATGTCAACGCCGCCCATTCAAAGCAAGCGTCCCATTTACGAGATGTCAAGCTTAGAACTACTGACAAGACTACAATTGGTTTATTTTGTTTTGGTAGCTTGGTTGGAAAATGGAACATGAATGGGATGGTCTTGCATGCTCTCGCACGCTTCAGAGTATGGCAGATTTTCATTCCAATGCAGGGAAGTTAACTTTCACCGCTAGCCCGCGCCCCAGTGGCGGTCTCAGCCAACTTCGCCCTGGTGTGGGGGGGGGGGGCATATGTTACCACCCACCTCTAACTCAAAAACTAAGACGGCTAGAAAGACGCGGTAAAAAGCAGTCGATAGCTCTCAATGCGTACGTTTGAAAGTATTTCGGTCATTTTTCGCCTTAGAGCAATATTGTGGTGGTGACGGTATCACGATAGGTATGCTGCGCATGACTTTCCCAGTGATAGGCCCGCATCTGTTAAAGGTCATTAACTCGTCGCTGGTGTCTGGAAAGTTACCCGCCGACTGGAAAGTGGCTCATGTCATACCGTTGCATAAGTCTGGCTCGATGGATGACCCGTCTAACTATCGTCCGCTGTCGCTCCTGTCAACTGTTGCTAAGGTCGCTGAGAGTGTTGTTTGCGGTCAGCTGATGACTTACCTGCTCACGCACAATATTCTCTCCGAGGTGCAGCACGGCTTCCGGCCCGGCCGATCCACGGAGTCGGCGATGCTGGATACTGTCAGTTTTCTCATGGATGGTCTGGATGACGGTCTCATCGGTTCTCTCACGACCGCCGACACTAGCAAGGCTTTTGACAGTGTCCGGCATCCCCGGCTCCTGGAAAAGCTGGGCTGGTACGGCATTAGCGCGCACTGGTTCCGTGACTGGCTGAGTGACAGGTGCCAGATGGTGCGGGGTGGTGAGGAGGTGAAGCCAATCACCCACGGCGTGATACAGGGATCACTTTTGGGACCGATCTTATTTTTGCTATTTTCAAACGATCTTGCGTCCTATGTCGACTCCAAAATAGTGATGTACGCCGATGACGTTCAGTTTTTACATCTAGCATCACCGAAGCGAATTTTAGAGCTGAAGACAGATACCGAATGTACTTTAGACATTGCGAGTCATTGGTTTGTTCAAAACTGCCTAAAAATCAACCCCAAAAAGACCGAACTGTTAGTTGTAAAATCACGTAGGAGGCAGCTTGACTTTGATTTTAATGTACAGTTTGGAGATGATGTTATTCAAACTTCCGCTAGCATTAAGGTATTGGGTGTAATTGTCGACTCTGGCTTGACCTTTGAGCCACATGTGACGGAGGTGATTCGCCGATGCTACGCCACATTAGGAGGACTGTGTAAATCTTCGCGATGCTTACCGAAAGAAGTGAAGAAACTGATCGTTGAGATGCTGATCTTCCCCCACATCCGCTACTGTTTGTCGGTCTGGTCGGGCTGTGGCGTTGTTCAGCGTCGCCGCGTGCAGCGAGTTATTAATCACTGCGCACAGGTGGTTATGGGAGCGCGCCGCTCAGCACACGTGACTCCGCTGTTGGAGGAGCTCGGGTGGCCCCAGATAGACGAGCTTGTGGCGGAGAGTGACTGCGGTGTTGTTCACTACTTGGTTAACAATACCAGTGCGCCGAGGTGTCTCTCGGAGCGGCTCGAGCGCCGCAGTGACGTCTCTAGTAGGGAGACTCGTGCCACTGAGAGCGACCTGCTCCAGCTGCCGAAACCCCGCACCGAGCAGGCGCGGCGGTTCTTCCGGTACCGCGCCATTGCACGCTGGAACTCACTGGCCCTGGATGTGCGTGACAGTAAAACGTCTGCTGGGTGTCGCAGGCGCTTTAGGAGGGCGCTTTAGGCTCTTATAATGTGTGATACCACGTCATACGTGCTGTACTTTTTTTTCCTTTAACATCTTTACCATTCAGCGTATATGTATTTATGTAATTGACACTTGGACAGAATAGCCGTGAATACGGAGTTCCAAACGAAATAAATGATGATGATGATTGGGGTCACCAGAGGTCATCAAAGGCAAAAATTTGCCAATTGTCATTATATTTTTCAGAGAACATGCCGCTATCTCAGGAACTATGGTAGCTAGAAAAACGCACGGAAAAGCAATCGATAGCTTTTGAACTCTTCTTTTGAAAAGGTCATTATCAATATTGACCTCAGGTCAACGGTTTAGCCTCCAGAGGGCAAAAACTCCAAAAATAGCTGTTTTTACGAAAAGTGTTTTTTCGACAATAACTTTCGACTACAAAAAGCCACAACATTTCTATTGCCAGAATCGTGTTCCCCTCACCGAGGCGCGTCGAATGAACTATAATTTGACCTTGAAAGGTCAACTTGAAAATTTGACCTCAGGTCAAGGTCATGACCTTTACCAGAAAAGGTCATGTTGCATATCAGTCGATGCGTCTCAACAAGACAAACACAATGAGACCATCCCCAGCGTTCTATCTCTTTCCAATCGCGAGTTATTGGCAAAAAACTGTTTGTAGCCTCAAGTGACCTCGGATGACCTGTCTAGAGGCTATCAGCAAAAATGACACCTTGGTCATCACGAGTGGACTAAATCATTGTGATTCTGAAATATTTGGACTGTTCCTATGCGTACACACGGATCTAGAGGCATTTTCATTTTTCTCCATTGACTTGTAATGGAAAGGTCACGCCACTGACCTGACCTTTGGTCACGGATATAAAAAATCCGAGATATAAAAATTGTAGGCGCCCATAACAGCATGCAATCCACCAAGTTAAAAACCTTTCTGACAAACACTGCAGGCCGGACATGATTGCAAACTTTTTTTAGGCTTGGTCAGTTAACTTGACCTGGTGACCTGACCTGACATGACCTGGGGTCAAAAATTTCACACATTGTCCAAAATTGATGTACCAAAAGCTACCTCAAGCGGCGCGGCGCTACGGGCCGCGGTTTTTTATTCACACGCAAAAAACAGGGTGGTAACATATCCCCCCCCCCCCCCACTGCACTGGGGCGAAGGCTAGGGGGTCGGTGCATTTGCTTTGATATGACCGACTCACCTGTGGGATAGGTGTGGACGGTGTGGCAGGCCAGTAGAGCTACCAGCAGCGTTTGTAGACCCAACGAGTACGACATTCTGGCGGCTGAAAAGGGGGACAAAGTCAGCGAAACGAAATCGGCATTATCGATTGCGATTAGTCTAAAAATAAAACTATTAAAAGAGCTGCATTTATGGTGCCAAACTACGAACCAATTATTAGTTATTATTTACATTTGGGTGATCAAGCGGCTTTCGCCTCAGTGACCAAGTACTGGCTCATTTCTGCGCCAAATGAAGTCCAACCATGGGGTGCTGTTTGGGCAGTCAGTCAATAGTGTGTCCAAACACGGCTGCACCTTAACTGGGCCACTTTACACAGCGGGCGGCCGGTGTACTCGGAGCCATTGGAGCGCTGTTTGAACCGATCGGCGGACGGAGGTCGCAGGGGCAGGACAAAGCGCGGCTGATGGCCGCAGACAGCCAGATGACCGCGCCGGCGGCACGGAAAACAGCCGCGCCACAGCACAAAGCCAATGCTAAACAATGGGATCTAAAAGCCTCCTGCAGAGACCGACCCTCAAACAAAGGGGAAACTCGTCAGCAGAACGAGCCAGCACAATTGCTTCCGCCCATTGCTATACCCCAGCCATTATTTCGTGAAAGGATCATTCAACTGCGAACGTTCTCTTTTTAACTCTTCGAACATGTTCTTATAAATATCTACCTGCTTCATAACCAATGATAATATGTTTGTGGATTCTTGGCTTTTTATCTTATTACAAATAAGCATGCATTCTTTGCGCGGCAATTGCTCCAAATACTAACCCCATGAATAACGCTCGACAAGAAAATATTTACATAAGTAGCTATTAGCCGAGGAGATTGGTATGGGTTACACGCATCACTCTGAGCCCCGCTCCTGTCGCGGCGGAACGACGTCGTCCGTCTGTCGGCACAAAAAGGCGCATCCGATGTCGCCTCCCGGCAGCAGGCCGCGGCGGCCATTCATCCTCATCAGAGGCGGCCTGAATGCGCCCCGTGACCGGCCGAGCTGAACCCTCCGTCCCGTACTGTCCCGCGCCCCGTCTGCTGCCCACATCACCCCCGTCCCGCGTCCATACGTCACCATGGCTGCCCCCGCCCACTGGCTCTGCAGACGGACCGGCAAAAAGGCACGGAGTGCAGACGCTGCACGCAGGGAATATCATTGGCAGCTGAGCTGTGAGCGGGGAGAAAGTCCGCTCACAACACTTCCTATAAGAATGGTATAGCATAACGCATGCATCAAAATGGAACGCATCTTGCATACATGGGATGATCCGGTATTTTGCAGCCTCTGTCTAACGTACACGCTTAGATTCGCTGGCTGGCACATGTCAGTAGATAAATAGATGAAATATTTCATGAAGCGCATAAGACAGCCATTCATTTTGGAGTCAGCTTTCATGATGTCTTGATGAGCCTTTACCTTTCAATGGGATCAAAGATATTTATTTGTCTGGCCTAAGACTCCAATAAAACTAATCATTTTCTCACTATCGCTGCCACCTTTTATACACCCCTAATCCTATAGCCTTGCAGCAGCTACGAATAAAAGTCTCCTCTTATTGGTTCAGCACGGCAACTGTCTGTCTCAAATGCAAAATACCGGATTCGAGCCTACAAACACTAATAGTTGTTTGTGAAACGCTCGTGTGCGCATTTTTTCTAGTGTCTACTGTCTACACATATGGTACACTGATGTAACTATATGTTCCGCATAATATTTGCGCTGTCGTGGGCACTTGTATGCGCTGATGCGCGCATAGTTGTGTCATCACGGCGTCCACTGGTGCATGCTTGGTGTGTGCACCGTGCACGTGCAATGTGCACTGCGGCGTTCACTGTGACGGCGGAAACGGCAAACAAGGATGGGCGCCAGATGGATATAATTGTGTTTAACTGCTCGCCGGGAAATGGCTCGTCCTGTGTGCGGCCGGGGAAGTCGGAGGCGGGCAAACTGGCAGACAAACCGCGGGGCAGCTTCAGCAGCCGGGCTCTGCTGCATAGTGCTGAGGAGTGCCCTTTTGCAGAACTGCAGAAAGACTGGCTTGATGAAATGCAAAGATAACTTTAATATTGTTTTGATTATTGTTTTAGAAGGTCAAACTTAGCAACAATACAAGCCCCTGCTGGCATGATGTCTCTACCTCAGGGCACACTACGAATACAAAGGACATAAATCAATAACAGAGGGTAAAGTTTGATCATCAATAAAACGGGCCTGCTAAAAAAAAACAGCTCAGCTGTTCGGCAACAGGTCTTTGTGCATTGAAAGTCAACACAGCAGTTATTACAAAGCTCATCGTTCCTGACTAAAAACACCTGCTCTCGCAGCACAACCCCAAAACAGCGGTTTCATTTGAACAAAGCACGTCCCGCCGGTGTGCTCGCTGTCGTTTGTCAATCATTGCGTGATCACACGGACGTCCCCAGCTCCTACACACAGAAAAATATTGACACCGTTAGCGGTGTAATTGCACAGTACATATCTGAGCACTTGAGGAAAGTTAATTTAGTCCCTTCCCCGCTTAAATTACTCGCGCTTCTAAATGAACACCAGGAAGAAGGTAATAGAACACTGTTAGGAGGATTGGGTGTTTTACTACATGTAGCAAAACACCCAACCCTCCTAACAGTGTTCCATTACCTTCTTCCTGGTGTTCATTTAGAAGCGCGAGTAATTTAAGCGGGGAAGGGACTAAATTAACTTTCCACAAGTGCTCAGATATGTACTGTGCAATTACACCGCTAACGGTGTTAATATTTTTCTGTGTGTAGCCTCAACAAACCCAAGATCAATGGCCGGTTCATTGAACAAATGGCCGCGCGCCGCCGCCCATACGCCGCGCGCCCCTGTGATTGAGAGCCGTATCATAAAGAAGGGCTCGACCTCACCTACAATAAAGCACCGATTGGAGACAATCAGCCGTCGCGCTGGTGGCGGTGGCCCCGAGCACTGAAGCCTAGTGGAGCGGGGTCGGGAACACACGGCCCGCCCGCTCCGAGCGCTGTGGGACTGTGGCAGGGAGCTGGGTCCGTCTCCTCAGCTGGGAGGCGTCGAGTCGGACCCACCCGCTGATGGCTGCGGATGTGAAGCGGTCAGCCCTTCCCCGCCTGGTGGGTGTGGAATTGAGTCCACTCCTTGTCGGGCCGGTGTGTGAGTTGCGGACCCCCAGGCGCCGGTAAGTGCGAGTCGCAGCTGAATCGGCTCCCGCGCTAGTGGTTGTGCACTTGTGCAGGGTGGGAAGTGCACCACGCTGGTGGGTGGGTGTGGAACTGAGTCGGCCCCTCGCCGGGCCGGGCGGCGGCCCACGGCCTGGTGGGAGCTCTATCGACCGGGCCGCCGCGGCCTCGACCGCTCCAACCACCTGCCAGAGACAGCCCCGCGTCTGCCCGCGCGCCGATCGGCAACACTGGAAGCACTGGATCCAGCTCAAACACCCCGTGGCTGCGGACTGGCCTCCACACAACCCTCAGCGACCACCGCCTGCCCAGAACCCAGTCATCAATGAGCTGTCCCAGGCGGCGAATAGAGTTCAGCTCTGCCACCGCTGAGCCGAACGTGACCCAAGCCACCCGGGTCCGCCCCCGCCGAGCTAGCCAGCGACCTCTCGTCTATTCTGGGCCATCGGGTCAGCGTCAGACCGGGTCAGACTCAGACGTCAGACTCTGAATGGTCTCAGTTCTGTGCGGGCGGCCGGCGGCCGGCCGTGCGGCGGGTGTGAGGGCCCGGTTATCGCCGCTAAGGCGCCACTTGGTGGCCGGCTGAGGAGCTCTCGAGGACGGCTGAGGGTGCTCGGGAGGACGGAGAGACGCGGCGGGCCGGACCCAGAACGGATTGTCCGGCAGAGCGGTCGGCGAGGCGCGTGGCAGGCGCAGGGTCGTCGTACGTCACAGAGCTCCCGGCGGCGGATATCTCCACTGAGCGGGTGGGGCTATCAAAAGCCACTGCCTTTTAGCACAGAGGGCTGTGAAGAAGGCAGGGAATAGGAGAGGTTCTAAGAAATGTTGTGATGTCTTGCAGTGATGAGCAGAAGTGTCTGTGGAGCGTGCAATAGCTGTGAAACACTGCGGCTTCGGAAAGTTACGTGAGCTGCTGAAATCTGCAGTGATTACAGAGGGTCTGATATGGGCCCGTGGAGGATCGTCTCAACTCAGTGCGGCCGGCGCTGGCGCTTAGAACTCCTCAGGGAATCATCCAGCCGACAACAGCGGAGGGAGAGCCAGTCTCGGAGAGGTATGGCACGTTTCTCGCCGGGGGCATTCTCCAGGAAACCGAGACCATCAGTCGACAGACTGCCGATCGTACGCTTCACAGAGGCTTCAGCAGTTGACGGATTTATCGGAACTGACGATTGGCCGTCCTTTCAGTCTGACCTGTGTGGCATCCTAAATGTGTCGGCTCAGTCCATAACACAGAAAAACAGCCTCCAGAGTGAAATAACGCCACCCAAGAAACGAGAAAAACACGGTTTCGTCTTTTCGGGTGTTCCTCGGGATAATGTAATGAACGAGTCTGTTCCATTGTTCGGCTCTCACCCGTCACCTCAGTTTAGAGACGAAAAGACGGCACAGTCCGCTACCTCCCTGTCCTGGAGAATACATTCTATTTCCGCGAGTGTCGTGCTACTGGAGCACATTCTCAGGCCCTCCTCAATCTTCTCCAATATCCACTATTGGCGTTTGATATACGGCCACGACCATGAGGGGCCGCGCCGCGCCCGACTGGATAAGTACACCTGGCGAAATGGGATCGAGGACGCCGGCAGTTTATGGTTGGCGGACATCACCTTCACTACGGCCGACATGCGGTATTGATTGATGGACAGCGGCCGAGTAATTGGGGGCCGGCCATAAACACGTCCGATGATCCAGGGAATGCGCAGACTGCACGGCGACTGAACGAACCAGAGTACGTGCAAAGCCTTCCTGCGATCCTATCAGCACAATGAACTATCAAATAATACTTCAAAAACAACTGACCTACGTGACCTAATAGCATTGCTTTGATCAATCAACGCAGAGGTTTTCCCGATGATTCGATTTCGACCAATCACAAAAATAGCGATGACGGTCCCGTGTGAAGACCATCGGGTTTGTGTATTGTGCATGGATATGAGAGTTGGTTCTATCCTCTTAATGGATCTCAAAGCAAACTAAAGGTTATGATTAATGATCCTATCGGATATCACATGCAAAATCCATTTTGGATCTAGGAAACATGAGAACCATCTGTGTGGTAGTGGCCAGTGGGTCCCGAAATGCGCCAAAAGAAAATAGTCAGATCTATGATCCCGTCGGCTCCGAAATCAAGCTTCATGGGCTCAGATAAGAGATCCTTTTACTCAGATGAATGAACATGCACTCTTGAGAATCCAATGTTTCCAGCAAAGTCTACACAAAAAAAAACTTAAAAAGGTACACCTGACGCATTTTAGTCATCGTCATAAGTGAGGCATATTTAGAAACACACGTTTTACACATTTGATCATCCAGCAGACTCCCAATGGCTGGCAGTGTGCGGTACAAGCTGTCTTCATGGCTCACAGTGTGCGGTGCGGCAGACTTCCTCCGTGGCTCGCAGTGTGAGACAGACTGCCTCCGTGGCTCGCAGTGTGAGACAGACTGCCTCCGTGGCTCGCAGTGTGAGACAGACTGCCTCCGTGGCTGGCGGCGCTCGGTGACGAATGTGTGGCAATGTCTGCGGCACGATCCCGTGCTCTGCTCCATGGCCGTCGGTCGCCGCGGGCTGAATCTCCGATAAATCAGTGCCCCGCGTCGCGCCCGTCACTACAATCCATCACGGAGACGGTCCGCGCTCCGGCCGCGGAAACGCCCGATGGCCGCTTCCGCTCGGCAGAGTGAGTTCATCGCAGTGACCTTGGCGGCACTGAAATGAATTGATTGACCGGCGCGCGACCGGAATAGAAATCGGCCGAGCGAAGCGTCCGTTAGCCCGTCCCAGTCAGTAGTGCGCTGAAGTGCAACTATGAATGATAAATTTGTGGGACCGATTAAGGCGGTAATAATGACACATTGCATTGAGATTTACAGGTTGAATAAGATTAAGAATACCATTATAACATGCAAATTGCTTATCGTTTTCAGGCGTGGCTTTTCCAGCAACACGAATTCTACATAGGTAATATTTTTAACCCGTAAGTTGAACAGTTGCATAAAAGTTTAAAATTATCATGAATTAAGACTTGAAAATTCTTAACGTTTCTCAGATCGCCGTTAACCTTAATGCATCTTTTACATTTCGTTCTATATGATAAAGCGGAGTTAAAAGTGAAAACGTATTCAATAATATAGCTATAGAAACGGTTCATGTTGAAGGTAACCGATTCTTAAACAAATGCTATTGAAGTTAAGGCAGGCGTTAGGACAGCTACCTTAATTTTATCCATGTCGATAGAATGATAAGATTTTTTAATGCTCAATCTCAATTTCAGATAGAATATCTTTCCAATATTCTGTCATAAAGCGTGTAGCACTATTCGTAACTGTGCCCATTTTGCCATCACCCACCTGCCGCTCGGATCTGCTGCCGCGGGCGCCGCTCTGCTGCCGTGGGCGCCGCTCTGTGCCCTCCCGCACTGTCTGTCAGTCCGCGGTCCCTGCCGGTCCTGTACTGCCCCTCTGGCTGTCCGCAGCTCGCTGCACCACCGCGCGCCGCGTCCCCCGGCCCGGACCGCCGCACCTCCGACCGCTGCGACGGCTGGACACCGACTGAACAGCCGCCGGAGCCGCGCCGCTGCCGACGAGACGGCCGCACCCGCGCCCGGCCGACGCCGAAGATTTAAAACGCAGTTCACACATGACCGTCAGTCTGTCGGTGTCGGGCCCGTCACCGTCGACCTGACGGCCTGCAGCCCGTCAAACGAAAGTTGAGATTTGGTAGCTCCCATTGGCTGCCATATGTTGTGACAGAAATGGCGCACTATTTTCGAGATGGACGCAGATGGGGGAAGGGGATGGGGGAGGGTAAAGGCCGAGAAGTTAAAAATATTCTTTGAATTACAGAAATAAAATACCACGCTTTTACATTTTTATGTCAAATAATGCTGCAATTTTATTTTAATGAAAGACACATCGGTTCGCTGACTTAAATCAGGGATCGAATCTCAAGATATCGTGCCGTAATAAACACTTTCATCTCAACAAATGGATAGAAAATGATATAAACTATCTTAAAAATGCATTTGAGCTTCATGCTGCATGATAACGTTCCTTTTCCTCTTCCTCCAACACGCAGACATTCAAACCGACGGGCCCGTCACCGTCAAAAGTTGAACATTGCTGAACTTTCCAAAGCGACGGCCGTCAGGTCCGGCGCCGGCGCAGTCAGCTGTTGCCGGCCGTCAAACGCTGCCGGTTCACACATGCCCGTCGACCTGACGGCCGTCGCTCCGTCGGTTTCGGCCGTTTTGACGGTGTCGGGCCCGTCACCGGCAGACCTTACGGGCAAGTGTGAACTGCGTTTAACACGTCGTTACGGCGAGGATCGATGTGCCAGGATGGACGAGCGCCCATTTTGACGTCGGATTGCCCCCGTGCAGTGGCCGGCCGGCGGCGGAGACCGACGCACAGGTCATGGACTGCCCACTGCCCTGGCCGGTGGAGCTCCCCAGCCGCCCATCGGACTGAGGGCAGTCTTTGTGGACCGGTCACAGCTACCGCGTGAGGGATTTCACGGCGGATGCGACTGTGGAACAGCCTTCCCAGAAGGCCACGTGTGCCTCTAAGGTCTTAATGCCAGCCTCAGACCAAGGCTCAGCGGGTAGGTTCACAGAAGCTTTCAATTATACCAGCTGATGCGTGCAATGACTATCCTCCTCTTTGTGCATACTTTGCAAGGATTAGACACTCTTTCAGGCCAGCCGGGGTCGATGTGAAAGATAGGGTTGAGTAACTGTAAAATGGCTGGAACAGTGTGCATAGATGCCCGTTGCTGTCGCTGTACTTGTGTGTTATTTTAGATCTACGAAGAAGCCGCTCGGACCCAGATGAGGCATGTACCCATCAATCTAGAGAATATCGTACACCACTCACCAACCCACTAATCCGAGACATGCGCTCACGTACCGGATCCTGTCTACCTGATAGCGGCTCGGCGCACTTTTTCTCGGTTCACAGATGCCACAGAGCCTCTGGAGTGTGGGATCAGCCCCAGACACGGGTGAGCACGGTGGCGGCTCGACTCGCCACCTATTTCCGTCCAATCCATGACTGAGATCGATCGTGCTGCAGCTTTCAGTGGGGTTTATGGCCGGTGGTGGGCGCCGCGCGGTGGCCGGCCCGTGCAGCGCCGCGGCCCTGACCGCGTGTAGGGCCAGCCCGCCGCGGCAGCACCACTAATTTACAGCCGGCCAGGCCCCGGGTAATGACGGTGGTCAGACTGCGAGTTTCGGACCGACCACTCTGCTTATAGATCAAACTTGGACCGATTAATTGCGCCGGAATGGCCGATGTTGTGCGGACACTTGGCAGCACGGGACTGTTTTGGAACGGGATGGGACAAGAACGATCATCGTCGGGCCTAGTTTTCCTAACAAAGTTCACAACTCATGGAGAAATAGCCCGATAATTGCCTGAAAAGTGCCAATTGATGCTGAAATTCACGTGGCGAACATCACGAAGAATTATTGCAGGACGAGGCGAAGTCTTAAATATAAAACCCCCTTGTATTAATGGCACTCCCGCTGAGTGATGCCGCTAAAAGTTATGATGCATGTGCGCAGTTTACTGTTTCCAATATCGTGCAACACCTACCAACCTGACCGATATGGACTAAAACGGCCCCAGAAGAATCACAGCCGCCTAATTTGATCCTCGGCGAAATGCTGCCAGATTACAGACAGCGCCGTCAGTTACCGAGCTATTCGTAGTGCCTTGCCTATGTGTGGTTATGTGGGTAATTATAGCGTCGAAGCCGCTCGTAGCGCCGGCTTCTCGCAGGCGGCTGACGATCTGCCTGTGAGGTAGACTGTACCGCAGGACACAGCTGTACTGCGGGACAGTAGGTGCAGCTGGTGGCAGCGACTGCAGCGGACTCTGCGCGACTCAGCGGCTGACAGTCTGCCTGTGAGCTAGACTGTACCGCACCACACAACTGTACTGTGGGACAGCAGGTGTCTAGTCGCAGGGACTCCGTGTGTCTCATTCAATGTGCCCCAGGAAGTTTTTCAGTTTTTTTTTCTTCAGAAACTGACTGATTAGTGGGGGAGCATCTCCGAGGTCACCTACACATGATCGTTCGCTGGTCGTTTGCAAAGCGTGCCCAGATATTTAACTGGTGTGAATTAAAGCAGTGGGAAATACATTGACATTGTGTTAAGACACGGATTCCACGCGTCAGCATTTATGTAAGAACAGCGCTTCCAGCTCCATGCACATGAACATTGGTACTATAACGCCTGTCGCTTCCCATTACGGAATGTGACGACGGTAATGCGTCAGCTTATCCAGGTTAATCGTTCGCGAAATTACCTCGCAATTGTTAAGAATTAGGACGAGCTGAAACTGCCTTTGTCTCTAATTGGAAATGGCCCGTAATCGTACATCAGAATACGCGCGTGTCAAGTTCTATAGTTCGCAATAATTGCATTTTGGGATTTATTATGCATGCGAGGATTGCACCAAGAAGGCCCGACGTCCGCCCGCTCACAAATTATGAGTCACGCCCTTCCAGACTGGTAAGATGGAGCTGCCACACTTGCAATCAGGTTTAAGCTAATCGCAATCATTACATAAGGCGAGTGATATAAATGGTGAGCTAAGTGACTATATCACACAACCCTTCACCCACTCCGAAAGGCCGGCTGGTCTGATCCTAAGGAGATTGATGATAGCCCGAACACAAAGATGAATGATATCTTCGTACGGAAATTCTAATAGGTAGCAGCTCAGAGCGACAAAAAAAACTAGGGTTAACAGTGAATCTATATGCTCTAACCGATAGCCCGCGCCGGGCAGGTGCTCGACGCCAACCGCACCGGGCCGGAGGAGGTGTTTGAACACACCCTCTTTTAACTCGGCTCCTGGGCCACGTAGCGACACGCGGTAAGCAGCATCCGAAAGAGCGTAAAATCATGGAAATACTGACATCTTTTAGGTCAGGTCAACGTCAGGTTACCAGAGACACAGATAACAGTAGTACTACTGTTATCTGTACTACTGTACTACTGTTATCTGTGCCAGAGATCATCAAAGTTAAAATATTGCCTACATATTTCAACAATTTTCCGAAAAACGACGCATAACTCGGGAACCAGTAAAACTACAGCCGGCCGCGTTTATGCACACATGCCACCACATTGTGTAAAAGGTAGTCTTTGCCAAATTTCTTTGTATTTCTCGCTCACCCTCACACACCACCGTGCGGTCCCATGGCTCGGACACGACTCTCCCTCTGTCCCGTCCGACGCGCCGGCATGGCCCCGAAACTAGGACGAACGGCCGCCGGGACCGCTCCGACGCCAGATGTGCCCCTCCGTCCACACCAGAGGGGACGGGGCAGACGGCGGCCGGCCGACGCTCCCCGCGGCGCCGAGGCGACAGCCTCCAAAACCCAACTCTCACACTACACCTTCCCCTGATTCTCAAGAATCAACCACTGAAATTTTAACACAAACACGCACACAACCAGCCAAGCACTCCTAAGACATTCTCTTAAACCCTCCAGTAGTAATCAGCACGCATAATGTCCACGTACCTTCCCCAATCATTTAAGAATCTTTTTTACGTGCAGCGCCCGACATGAAGAAATGCACTTGGCCAGGCTCACCAATTTTGTCACAGAGCACAGATGCCACCAAACTACCAGCTCTCATTCAACCACTTGCCCTCTCCTGTCCATCAACGGCACACACAAAATCAACTATCGAATGCACACAAAAACCACGAGCTCACAAACAATCAGACACTCATTCTAAAAAGTCCCGGCCACTGACTCACTGCCACCACACGGCCCTCCTGTGGAATTTCCATTGCAGTGCTGGCGACTGCCACCACACGGCCCTCCTGTGGAATTTCCAGTGCAGTGCCGGCGACTGCCACCACACGGCCCTCCTGTGGAATTTTAAGTGCAGTCCCGGCAACTGCCACCACACGGCCCTCCTGTGGAATTTTCAGTGCAGTCCCGGCAACTGCCACCACCTCCACAGCCCACCGGCTGCCACCACCTCCACAGCCCACCGGCTGTCACTCCCACAGCCCCACCGGCTGTCACTTCCACAGCTCCACCGGCTGCCAATCCCATGCAGCCCCACCGGCTGTTACTCCCACAGCCCCACCGGCTGTTACTCCCACAGCCCCACCGGCTGCCGCTCCTCCACAGCCCAACCGGCTGTCACCTTCACCGCTGCGAGCATCACTCGCCAGCGCACTAACTGCGAGCATCACTCGCCAACACGTTCACTGCGAGCACCACTCGCCATCACCCTCACTGCGAGCATCACTCGCCAGCGCACTCACTGCGAGCATCACTCGCCAGCACCCTCACTACGAGCATCACTCGCCAGAGCATTGCACGGAGCGCGACCCAGCCGTTCAGTGTCCAGTTAGTCCAGCGGCACTAGGTTCTTCTGCCGGTCGCAGTCCACCTCGCCGTATCTGCCGGTCCTCCGGACTGTATATGGGCCAGTCCAGCAGCAGCCACCGGGACAGACGAGGTGACGGGCGGGGTCCACGGCAGACGCCACGGCTCCTGGGCGACCCCTGCTTC